ATCACGATGTTGTCAAAACACTCATCCACGTAACTTTTTTTTTCTTATTTTTTATGTTTGATTTTAATTACAATTCAAAATCTTACTTCTAACCTACAAAGCTCTCAACAACCTGGCTCCATCTTATATTACAGATCTTATTGTTCCATATTTTACTAAAAGAGCACTTCGCTCTCAGGCTGCAGGTTTACTTGTAGTTCCTAGAATTTACAAAAACAGAATGGGAGGCAGATCTTTCAATTATCAGGCTCCTCTCTTGTGGAACCAACTTCCAGTTTCTGTCCGTGAGGCTGACACATTATCCAATTTTAAGACTGGACTTAAGACTTTCCTTTTTGCTAAATCCTATAGTTAGGGTCGGCTTGGGTTTCCTGAGCTGTCCCTTAGTTATGCTGCTAGAGGCTTAGACTGCTGGAGGACAAACTGACCACAATTTTCACTCTGCTACTGTCTTTACTGAGGTTGTTTTCACACCTGATAGTCCGGTAGACTCGGTTCGGTTCGGGACCAATATTCATGACCTTTTGTTACATTTGAGCTGGTGCGTTTGCATTCACACTGCACTGTGCAGTCGAGTCAACCTGTTGAACCAACCTGTTCCCCCGCTCGCCTGTGGGGGCGCTGCACCAAGAACTACTGAAAGAAACGACACAAAAACCTCTGAAGACACTTCTTCTTCTTCTTCTTCTGGAAATAAAACAAAAACGGAGTGGCATCAAGTTTTAGCAGTTTTAGGAGTTATATTTTGTCTTTTTTCAAAAAATGGACTCAGCATGAGCAGAAGATGAGACAGAAGACCATAGAGAATATTGTTTTTCACACAAGGCAGCTGACGGCTCCATATGAGGTCAGAGAAATGTGTGTTTGTTTGTCCTGCACTGTACTCCTTTTCCTTCTTGTGGAGCGGGGTCCGGTCTGTTTACATTCACACTATACTCGAACTGCGCTGCAGTTCTCTTCTACCGGACCGAGACCTAGGTTTTAGCCCGGGCCAGAGTTTGCCTTTTTGTTCCATGACAGAGTTTGATGGCACGTTCACACCTCCCTAAACGAGCCGGACTTTCAAGGAAAACGAGCTAGAGTTTGATTAAAGGGGACTAAACAGGGCTGGTGTGAATGCACCTTTACTCTGCTCAACCTGTTTTGTATTTGTAATTATTTTTCTATTCTTAACATGTGTTTTTTTGTCTTTCAGATACACCTGGACCTATATCTGGACCTACCATTCTGTGTTGGTCTGTCTCTCCTTCCTGTCCTCTCAAACCAGCCGGTCAAAGCAGATGGCCGCCTTTCCTGAGCCTGGTTCTGCTGGAGGTTTATTCCCTTTAAAAGGGAGTTTTTCTTTCCACTGTTGCCACTGTGCTTGTTCAGGATGGGAGACTGCAACGAAGCCAAGATTCAACTTGTCTGCTGGATTCCTTAGATAGAGAACTTTACTAATTGGCTTTTATGTGAATGTTCCTGTAAAGTGCCCTGAGACAACTTTGTTGCGATTTGGCGCTATATAAATAAACTGAATTGAGCTGAATTGAAATTAATACATTAGCTTGTTTTACCTGAGTCGAATCGTCTTTGTTTAGCAGTATCCTGCCATGTTACTTACGCAGCACAGCTCTTACATGATCTCTGCAGCTCATCACCAGGTGCACCCTCTTAATGAGCTAGCCTCTCTCATACAAAGCAGTTAGCCTCTCTTACCCATAGCCTGGTTGTGAGTGTCAATGCACAATCTGTTCCGGGACCAGAAGCATGATCCGTACTGTGCACCCATACTCTGGGTGCAGGAGAGGTGCACCTCAGAATGGTCCTATGTCTTGTATTGAAGAGGAGCTAATTGTGCATGTACAACTTTTAACGAGAGTCTATGGGCAAAGATTTTAGCGCCCCAGGGTGGAAATACATCATCAATCAGAGATAACGTCTAATGAAACAAACATACTCATCAATAACTATCAAAATATTTATCTTCCACAGCTAAAAATGTATATATATATATATATATATATATATATATATATATATATATATATTGTAATGATCCTTTAGGAGTTACTGTATTGTTACATGTTTACTATTCCTGTTGGTTCTTGTATATGACATATTCTGTTGTGCCACAGGGGTTCTTGGGAAATGAGTTGGAGTGGGGTTTGTTGGGTGGCCCATCCTTGTGAGGAGCAGTGCATCCTGCTGTTGTGATGCTGAGGAGCTCTGACGTGAGTTAGAGCTGAACAGTAACTCAGAGTTATTTGACCTGTAATTATTGTTCCTGAATAAATCGTTGGTAAGAGCAAAACGTCTGGTGCTTGAGTGACCGCGTCAACTTACATTGGTGTCAGAAGTGAAACTACGAGCTGCCTCTGAAGTTGCCGGCGGCACTAATCACGGTTGGAGACTGATGTTGTCTGACAAAATTAAGAGGGAGGAGCTGGAGATGGAAGCCTGGCTGCATTCGACCGCTCACAGAGTGAGAGAAACAGCGCTGAAAATGGCTGCTGAGGCAGGATTTTCACCAGGTTTGGCTAGAACTGAGAACTTTTCCTGCCACGACCGCGTTTCAGCGGAATAGAGTCAAACTCGCATGATGCACTGTCACATGATATAAACAAAGAGGGCGGCGCCCAGGGGCGGGAAGTAGCTGCAAACATAAAAACACCCAAGTTCAATGGAAAGACAACATGGGAAGTGTTTATTGCTCAGTTTGAACTGTTAGCTGTTGCAACTGGCTGGGATGAGAAGAATAAAGCACTGCAATTAGCTTTGTGCCTGTGTGAGGATGCAGCTGCCTGTTTACTGCTGCTGAGCAAGGAGGAGAGGAGAGATTATGCTGCTCTAGTTGGAACACTACATAGATGGTTTGGACAGTATAACCAGCCTGTGCTGCTGCGATCAGTTTCACAACAGATGCAGACAGCCTGTGGAGCCACATTGTATTCTGGCCTATGACATCAAGTGCCTCTGTAGGAGGGCTTATGACAACATGCCACCTACTGTACAGGCAGAAGTCGCTTGGGATCAGTTCCTGCAGGCCCTCAGTCCCAAAGAGCTCCAAATACAGACTCAGCTTGCACGTCCAGACACATTTGGTGCAGCTCTAGAGTTGGCGATGGAGAGGGAGATGCTGACAGGATTCATCAGTAGAGCTGAGGACGCACCGATGGTGAGGGCAATGTCTGCACCTGTCGAGCAGATGGGGAGGACAGGGGGACCACTCATTATGATGAAGATTGCTGCTCTTCAGTCATCTGCTCCATGGGCTGGCCCAAGCCATTGACCACAGAGCTGCTGGGGATGTGGGCAAGCAGGCCACTTCATCAGACAGTGTCCCAGGTTCACAGCCATGTTGGGAAATGCTCAAGGGCCCGTGTAGGTGGGAGTGCACGGGCCTGTGAGGCCAACACCCCCAGCCTGTCATCATCTCCACCAGGTGCAGTCATTAATGTTGACTGGACTCAAGTGGGCAACTTTTGTCATTCCACTGATGGTCGCCGGGGTGCCTTGTACAACACTGCTGGACACAGGGTCCAACCTGACATCATCCCTATTGGAACTGCTGTGCAGGCAACTAATGTGCAACTAAAGACAGTGCCTAGTGACCTGGCCCCCATAAGAGGGAGGGGAGTGTTCCAGTTTAAGGTGGGAGATCTCGTTGTGCCTTATGCTGCCTGGGTGGCGGACGTGCAGGACACATGCATCCTTGGGTTGGACTTTGTACAAGCCATGGGTGGCATGCTCGACCTGGGAAATGGCTCCCTAATACTACCTGAAGGGAAGAGAATACAGCTTGTCTCCCCCTCGTCGTGTCCAGCCCCTGATGCAGTAGCTGCTTACACCTCGGAGACTTCAGTGTTGCCTCCAGCTGAACAGCAAGCTGAAGAGGAAGAGAGGTTGTCTGCAGTGAAATAATTTTGGTCCAAAAACTGTGAGAGACTGACTCATCAGGAGCATGAAAGCCTATGGAAGGTGTTGTTGGAGTTTAAGGACACTTTTGCCCTTAAAGTGAGCAAAGTAGGTCTGACGCACTTGATGGAGCACATCATTAACACTGGGGATGCTCGTCCTATTAAAGTGCATCCCCGCCACCTTCCCTTAGCTCTCCAGGAGGCTGCTGACAGAGAAATGAGTGAGATGATTGAGACAGGCATCATAGAGCCATCTGATAGGCCGTGGGCCTCCGCTGTAGTGATGGTACCCAAGAAAAACAGTCCAAGGATGCGCTTCTGCGTAGACTACAGATTACTTAATAAAGTCACAAAAAGGCATTCTTACCCCCTTCCCAGAATTGATTAATCTCTAAACTTGGTAGCAGGTTCTTCCTGCTTTTCCACCCTGGACCTGCGAAGTGGATACTGGCAGGTGCCATTGTCCCCAGAGTCTAGACCAAAGACAGCCTTCTGCACCAACAAGAGACTGTGGCAGTTCAGAGTACTGAACTTTGACCTGTGCAATGCGCCCACCACCTTTGAGCGCAAATGGACAGAGTGCTAGCTGATGTCCCATGACAGTAGTGTCTAGTCTACCTTGATGACCTCCTGGTGCACGGGAGCTCCTTTAATGCTGTTCTGGACTCCCTGAGACTGGTGCTAGGGAAAGTGACTGCTGCAGGCCTTAAGCTACACCCAGACAAGTGCCACTTTATGAGGAGGGAGGTGGAGTTTCTGGGCCACAAGCTGGGCTGTGAGGGCATCAGCACTTTAGAGGAAAAGGTCTATACAATTAAGGACTGGCCCACTTCAACAGACTAAGTTCAGCTTAAAAGCTTCCTTGGGCTAGCCTCCTACTACAGAAGATTTATGAAGGACTTTTCCTCAATAGCTGCACTACTCTTCCGCCTTCTGCAGAAGAACTGTGACATCACCTGGACTCAAGACTGTCAGCAGGCATTCAACACCCTCCGCTGATCTCTGACGGAGTTTCCAGTCCTTGCCCCACCAGACCCTAACCTGCCATTTGTCTTAGACACAGATGCCAGTAATGTGGGACTAGGAGCTGTGTTGTCGCAGGTTGGGCCCAATGGCAAAAGAGTGGTAACATACTACAGCTGGGTCCTGAATAAGAGTGAGCGACGATACTCCGTTACGTGGCGAAAGCTTCTGGCTGTGGTGGTGGCGGTAAGACATTTTAAGTACAACCTGTGTGGTGCACCATTCATTATCAGAACTGACCATGCTGTCCTCCAGTGGTTGATATCCTTCAGGGAGCCCGAAGGGCAGGTGGATCACTGGCTGGAAGAATTCCAGAGCTTTAATTTCACTGTGGAGCACAGAGCAGGAGCATGCCATTCCAATTCAGATGCTCTGTCTCGCCATCCATGTGCTGCAACAGGCTGTCGTCATTGTGAAAAGCAAGAGGAGAGAGAGCTCACAGCAACAGACAGCACAGCAACAGACGGCACAGTGCAGTTCTTGTGCAGGGTGTTCCAGGTGGTTGATGTGATGGAGTGGAGGGCAAAGCAGGAGCACGACCCCGACCTGCTGCCAGTCCTACAATGGCTCAAGGGTGAGCAGCAACCCAACTGGGATGAGGTCACTGGGCTTTCTATCACCACCAAGGGGCTGTGGGCCAAGTTTGATGCTCTGAGGCTGAGCGAAGGAGTGTTGCAATGTGCCACAGGGGAGGAGAGGTAGTAGGTTGTGGTGCCAAGATCACTGAGGTCAACTGTGCTGGGAGCCTGACTCCTGTTCCTCGCACAAGGGGCCACTGGACCAGTCTCGTGCCCAGCTCCAACAGCAACCAGCAGGAGCACTGATGGAACAAGTGGCTGTAGACATCATGGGCCTGTTTCCCCGCACAGATAAGGGAAACCACTATGTCCTTGCTGCCATGGACTATTTTACCAAGTGGCCAGAGGCATATGCCATCCCAGATCAAGAGGCCGAGACTGTGGCTGACACATTAGTGGAGGGGATGTTCAGCCGGTTCAGGACAGCGGAAACCCTTCACAGCAATCAGGGTCAAAACTTTGATTCCAGGGTGTTTGCTGCCATGTGTGAATGCCTGGGGATTCAGAACACCCACACCACCCCACTTCACCCACAGAGTGATGGCCTGGTAGAGAGGTTTAACAAGACACTGGCCCAGCAGCTAGCTATCCTCACCTCGGAACACCAGCGTTACTGGGACATCCATCTCCCCCTCATTCTCATGGCCTACAGGTCAGCAGTCCAGGACTCAACCCAGTGAACACCTGCCCTGCTCATGTTTGGAAGGGAGCTGAGGACCCCTGCTGAGCTGGCTTTCGGGAGGCCCCATGATTCACCAGAGGCGCAACAAGGTCCAGACTATGCGAGTGTAGTGAACTAGGCCTGATGTCAAAACTGACCATATGGGGCTGAAACTGTCATTTCATTGATTTGCATCCAGAAATACAGGTTGATCGATCCTGAGACTTTCTCTCTTGAATTAATCAAGTGGAAAAAGACAATTCTCTATGATCATTACTATTTTACAAATGTTTTGATAATCAAATTGTGTTAGTTCAAACAATGTTTACATGTTGAAGTGAACTACTCATTTTTATTAACTGTGAAACAGTAAATAATGATCCTTAATCCTCATTCAAAGAAGAAATCAGGTTAATATGCATTTCTTGATTTTCTGTCTTCAATGAGCAAAGTTGTAAGTGTGTTAAAGTTCAAGCTTCGGTCAACTAGAAAGTTTACTGAAAAGAAATGTCATGTTTAACTTTTACAGTGAGATACAGGAGAGGTGGCTCCACGAAGTCTGGTTTTGCCATGATATCTTTCTGTCTGTTCTTAAACAATTTGAATCTTTCCCTTGACTTTTAATAACACCTTACATCACAAACCACACCTCTGCTTTGGTCCATCCACCAATCAAAAAGCTCTCAAATGAACCGGAAGTAGAGCCCATTTAAATGTGGCATTTCCCAGTTCAACAGTTCAGAAGTAGAGATCAGAAGAAGAAGAGTTCAGAAAGTTCAGCTCAGTCTTGAAGCTGCTGTAAGCTCAGTCTTGAAGATGGAGCAGCAGTTCAAGCAGAGAGTTTTTAGAGTTCAGAGTTTTTGGAATCCAGAATGCAGAGAGTTTGGGAGTTCCTGAATGCAAACGCAGGCATTCATGGATGCTGCTGAATTAGAATCAAGCTGAACCAGAGACGATTTTGGGAATTATAACTTCTGTTTGGACAACCTCGCACGACTCTCGAGGTATTTAGCTGTTCTCACTGAGACGCTGAACAGTGGTTGGAAGTGAGACTCCACGCCGGAACTGATCTATCTTCAGAAAAGGTAAAAGTCGACCTTCACCAAAAGTGTACTGTTGGACAAGCTGATTTCCAAAGGAGCGTGCACGTTCTGGTTAAAACAGACAAATTCCCTCACGAATCTCTCTCAGATAAACTCCATCTTTCCATCTTTAAACTCTCCTTTCTGCTAGAAAATTAATCCAGATGTTTTCAGAAATGTCTGTGGTGTAGCAACGGAAAATCATGGCCGTATGGTTTTCCTGGTTGTAAAGCTGATTGATTATGTTGTTATTTTCATATTCTGCCAAATTAATGTAAATGTGTGATGTGTTAAACTTGATTCTGTTAATAAATGACCCACTCGCTTGGTGAGTCAAAGATAATTAACGTCTCACGTCCACATTTTTATTACATTCAACGCACGCATGTTACACAGTCCAGAAAAATGAAGAACCCGTTTAATGTATGAATATATCTCAGGATATGTCATACTACACGAGGAAACTGTAGGACCAGTTGGAGTCAGCACATTCCTATGCCCAGGACCAGCTGGCAAAGGTGGGATTGTATCAAAAGAGAAATTATGATGTCACCACTAAGGGGAGGCACTTCCTTGCTGGAGAGCTGGTGCGGGTCTTTAGCCCAAAGAGAAGAAAAGGGCAATGTCCCAAACTGGACAGCAGCTGGGTGAGGCCCTGCAGTGTTCTGGAACAAGTAGGGGTGGTGGTCTACAGGGTGCAGTTGCCCCCTAAAGGCAGGAAGGTGGTCCTGCACCGAGGTAGAATGGCCCCCTATAGGGTACATTCTTTCCCCCCTTTCCTGGAAGGACATGTGCAAAGTCCCCATGCACAGTTGGACTCACAGCAGGAGCTATCTTCACCTCTAGTCTCTACAGCTCCTGTTGTCTCTCAAAGCCCCAAGAGGCCAAAGAGGCAACGCCAACTGCCTCCCCGCCTTAGAGACTGTTTTGGTCCCTTGAGGACAAGGAATTTTTTGTTGGGGGACAGTGTAATGATCCTTGAGGAATTATTGTATTGTTACATGTTCACTATTCCTATTGCACTGTTACTGGTTTTTGTATATGACATATTCTGTTGTGCTGCAGGGGTTGTTGGGAAATGAGTTGGGGTGGGGTTTGTTGGGTGACCTGTCCTTGTGAGGAGCGGGATGTACCTGTTGTGATGCTGAGGAGCTCTGATGTGAGTTATGGCCGAACAGTGACTCAGAGTTATTTGACCTGTAATTATTGTTCCTGAATAAATCGTTGGTAAGAGCAAAACATCTGGTGCTTGAGTGACCACATCAACGTTACTATATATACATGCATATATTTAGGAAAAAATATTTGAATTTTATTAAATTTTTTAATGTTTGTTCAAGGTAATGTGGTGAGTAGTGTGAGTGGTGTGGCAGCACCCTTGCATCCTCTATTGACCAGCCGCCATTGCTCCCCCCTCATTTGAACCTTCTCATTGAACCTTTATTTAGAGAGGCTCAATGGGATTTACCTGTCTAAATAAAGGTTGAATGAATGAATGAAGGAAAATTTGCCCCACTCTGGGTCCTTGAGCAAGGCCCTTATCCCCCGCCATCTGCTCCTCCGGGTGCCCTAGATAGCAGCTCTTCTCCACACAGAGGGCTGTAGTAGCTCGGTGGTCTGTGGTTGCGTCAGGAAGGACATCCGGCGTAAAAATAATTGCCAAGTCCATGCAACTTAGTTCACTGTGGTGACCCCTGAAGAAGGGAGAAGCCAAAAGAAGAAAAAAAATTTTTTTTTCACATTTATATGCTACAGATTTTTAAAGGGACAACAGTACAGATGGTGTATGGTAAAAACATAAGAAATTATTTTTTTATTTTATTTTTTAATAAATTATATTTTTGCTGTCATGACAAATGTTTTAGTCTTATTTTAAATGTTACAAAAAGCAATTCATCAAAAAGTGGCAGAAACGATGGGTCCCCAGAAACTCCAGACTTGAGGTTGCTGGAGAGAAACCGCTGATGTGACCACACATTCTGCCTCATGGAAATTATTGTAACTGCTACAGTACATTTTTCAATTTTTCCACATTGCAGTTTAGATTTTGTCTAGTGCTGCAGCAAAGATGAGGATAATTTATCTGCAAGTCAGTTGTGCTCTCGGCTTATGCATTTTGAGGTTTCTTTGGTACAGTTAACATCAGAAGCCTGTTTATGCCATCAAGACATTTTAGCTCCCACCTTAACAGACACAGCAACCCAGTTAAAATTAGCCATTCGAGTTTACCAGCGGGCAGCACGGTGGCACAACTGGTAGAGATGCTGCCTCTCAGCGAGAAGGTGGCCGGTTCTAATCCCAGTCCGGGGGCCTTTCTGGGTGGAGTTTGCATGTTCTCTCTGTGCATGCGTGTGTTTTCCCCGGGTACTCCATTTTCCTCCCACAGACCAAAAACATGCATGTTAGGCTGATTGGTAACTCTAAATTGTCCCTAGGTGTGAGTGAGAGAGGGAAAAGTTGTTTGTCATCCAAAAAAGTTAAATCTGGTCCTCTGGACATTCAAAAAAACAAAAAACAAAACAAAGCAAAAAAATGTAGATACGTTTCGTCTCTCATCCGAAAGACTTCCTCAGTCTGAGGTGCTGTATTCAGCTCAGTCTCTTAAATAGCACCTTCTCAGAGTGGATCAACCAGTTT